AAGCTTAAAGATTACAAAATATATCAACTGTGCTTTTGTGGGTGCAATGTCTAATGTCTCTACACAATATATACAAATTTAGCAATTCAGCATCATATTGAACACTTAATACGACATTGAGAGTCCCAGCTGCAGCGTATAAAATCACCATTTAAAACACGGGTCCTTATAAAATATAGAAACAGAAAGAAAGTATTTTGTATCAAATGATTAAATGATTTCCTTCTTTCATTATATTGTTTCTTTTCTTTGCTACTTTCACTGTACCGTTCATTGTGTCGGGCTTTATATGACATGTGAGCACTGACCATGATGAGTTCTTTCACACACCAAAGGTCAGAGGCATCACTTACAGAAAGAGAAGGACCCCCCCCCCCAAATACTCACTAAGTCATTTACCTCATTCCCTATCAATTATTGAAATGCAGTTGTCAGTTGAAAAGCCAGCCAGACTTTCCGTTGATCTGTTTGATGAATATTTCAGCTGACAAACAGGCTACCTGACACTCTGCACCAAATCAATGTGTGGTTGGCCACAGTCATGCACATATACATGCACATGTATATACAGTTACAGTGTTGTTGTTGTTACTATTCTCTTCTAAATGTTTATTTAATGTTTATTTACATTGATTTCCCCATTAAGTACAATATAGTGTAACACTTCTCTACTTTTACTTTACTAGATTTTGAATGCAGGGCTTTTACATTTAACAGGATGTTTTTCACAGAGTGGTATTTAAAAAACATTTGTAGCTACTTATTTATGAACTGAATTAGAATATCAAAACAGGAGAAAACAAGAAGGTTTGTTAACCAGCCCCATTTGAGACTTCAGCACTCCATATGTCCCACTATGATTTGGTCACAGTGTTCTCTACACAAACCACAGGGGAAAAGTCAAAATGTTTTCCATGTCATCCAGCAATGGGTCCGTCAGCGCCGAAGGATAAAATGTCTGCACAAGGCAAAACAAAAAAGTTGAAATCCAATATTTCCACAGATCTAACATACATTCCAGCAAAGAAGAGGAGCAGAGAATGGCACAGCCTGTGGAAGTATTGGATTTGAAAGTTGGCTTCGCCCCGGGCAAACATTTTATCATTCCGTGCAGAAAGCAGATATCTGAAGTCTGAAGAAATACCTTTGAAGACGCCTCCCACTGCTGGAAGAAGTCAAATTGGCAAAATTGGCAAAGTGAAACAGGCTTTAAGCATTTTTTATTTCACCATATCATGTGAAAAGCAACACCATGTAGTCACATCTTGCATTCAATAAAGTCACTTGACCACAGCATGAAAGAGGAGCCAACAAAGCTCTGGTGAACTGGTGATGTGTTATTTATGTTGTGCTCAGTTCAAAAGCAGCCTCTATGGAGAAGACACACCCCATAAATTTTCCTATGGCCCCTATGAGCAGGTCAGGAAGGCACCAATATTTCCTCTTTATTAGAAACAACAGAAACAACATGCAGCCATAAAAGGGAGCATGCTGCTCCGAGAGCTGAGAGGTATAGTCACACAATCCATTTCTTCCAGCCTGCCTTTGTCCATATATTGGTGCATTTCCTAACTCTCACACCAGTGACTCACAAACTCTCCATGCTTCATCACAGGTCAACTTGGAGATGAACTTTAAAGGAAGGTGTAACAAATGATCGCAGTCTCTCAGGCAATTCATATCGGCTGAAGTGCCATAACCCTCTACATATCCTGACCTCAATTTGGAGTCTGCGTGTTGAAGGCCCATCTGAGGAAGATGGTATCGATCTGAGCAGGGACTCTGGCAGCATCAATAAACAACAGGCTTCAGGCTTCAAGGCTGAGGAGACACATCTCTATTTCAGCCGGAGGGTTCGCATCTGGATACCCGAGTTGGGACGTGGCCCTGGACAGATGGTGGGATGCGATTTTTCTCACTTAACTCACAGCAGGCCCAGCTCCTTTGTGAGAGCAAACCCAGTGATAACTTCCTTACTGTAGGTTATATCAAGGTAAATAAGGCCTTAACACCCCCCCCCCCCACACACACACACACACACACACACACACATTGTTACTTTGAATAATCACCATTAATGTTGAGGGACATAGTAAATAGAAAGCTACCAAGTAACAGTCAATATCTGTGAGAAGGATCGATGCCTAACCAGCAGCAGACAAATAGTATTTCAAGACCTTCTATATCAGCATTACAGTGAAGGAGGACAGTGCTGACTTTGGCTCATTAATCAATAAACACAACAAGCCAACCAATACATTTGACATAGACTAATGAAATAATAATCATCATTAGATGAGGAGGAGGAGGAGGAGGAGGAGGAAGAAGCAAACACAGGCTGCATTTGCACACTTTGCTGCACACAAAAAAACAGCCAAGTCGGAAATTAAAACTATAGTGAATAAGTAATGGGCAATCTCGTTGGACAATTTTGTTGCTGTCTTGTTTACTTGCTTTTCCCTCTTTGCTGAGAAAGTTAAATATGTGTGCCTCATACATTCAGAGTCAAACTGAGCTCACTTTGCGCTAAGCAGCTTGTCAATAGCAAGAAAAGAGGCACAGGGTAAGAGAGCAGGTCTGATAAAATGACTTTTAATTACCAGACAGTGAATGCTGGCCTTCCTTTTCCATTTTCTCCTCACAGCTAAGTCAGGAGTTTGATTTCTGATAATGTGGATTGCTGACTGGGCTTCGTCCTAGTTGCCCCTAAAGCAGAAGGACCTAATGTCAAGTCCGGTGAGAGTGTGTTTGACAAAGTGCCATATAGATCCTCTGCTTTTCATCAGAGGGCAATGCTGGTGGAGGCATTAATCAGAACGCTTGATAGCCCGGCTTTGTTTTCGCTTTTACTCTCCTGTAACAATTAAGCCACAGTAATAATTTCATGGCATTACATGGAAATCAATGGGTCTTTAACCCAGCTGTTGGTACAGGTGTAAGACATTAGATAAGTGCAGGTCGATGCAATGGACTTCTAACCTTTGTGTGTGTGCATGTGTCTTTGTTTGACAGTTGATAACAGACCGACAAGCAGATAGATAGATAGATAGATAGATAGATAGACAGACATACATACAGACAGATATATAGATAGATAGGTAGGTAGATAGATTTCATTTTTCTTTTGAATGCTTCCCTTAAATGAGATGGGAACAATCGATAAAGAAGCTCAGCCATAGGCCAACCAGCAGAGGAGACTTTTGTTTTAGCAGCCAGTGAAACCCAACCTACTGCAATGGCTGTCACAGCGCACGTCTCATTGATATTGTTTTCAAGTGCCACGTCCAGCCAGACCTGAGCCGCGGGGACACTGAACAAGCTTTCACAAGTTCTTATCATTACACAGAACACTGCGGTCATCAGACTCTGTGAGCAGAGCTCTGTAAATTAACAGGAAAAGAGACTTAGTTTTGCACAGGGATCAATGTTCTCAGAACTGCAATCAGAGCTCTGCGGTGAGCGGGCAGGGAGACTGATGTGGACCCCTCAATCATAAGGCCGTAATCAACGTTTTTTAGTGCCCCTTTGTTGTACATTCAATTATACACTAATGACTCATGCGTAACGGAAACATTTAAATACTAATGCTGTGTTAATGTAAAGTGAAAGAGGAAGAAACCTCTTTGCATACTTGTAAAGCCATAGTCATGAGGGCATGACTGCTCTGTACACCTTGTTAAAATGAGTTAAGCTCAGCTGTATCGCCAGGATGGTCGAGGAGCCTTTGTGAATTTTACTTCTATGAAAGTGAGGACCATTCATTCAATATTCAAATATCTGAGCTTTTAGAATAGTGATCTAAGGTCAATTATAAAAAGAATATTCAGCCATTACATACCCACCAATTATGCCCCCTGAAAGATATTGAATACTTGGAATCGCACTCTCTTTATCAAACTTTATCTCACATCAAAGCAGTCCAAGGTGACAATAATCTCTTTTCATGATCCGTTCAATAATTTCCATTCAGTATAAAAGGCTGAGTTGTACACACACATAATATGTCACCCAGTGGTTGCCTTCGTCCACTTTTCAATCTAACTCTTCCGAGTCCACATCCCATTAATAACTAGGGTGAAAACATTAACAAATCCCATTATTTTCAATACAATACCTACAACATATTAACTTTCCAATAACTTAAATCAAACATTCAAAAACGTTTTTAATCATGTTGGTTATTATATTGGTTATTGGGCAAACCATGTTAATCTTAGAACTGCAGTTGCTAATCAAGTCCTTACCCATATGTTTGGAAATCTCTTCTGTTATAGGGGGAAGCAGAAGCACACGCTGTCATTAAGAAAAAAAAATGTACATAGAAATTTAAAAGGGTGCTTTAACATATTATGCAAATATATGACTGAGCTGTTTGATTTTAATGCAGACCAGTTCTGCTGGTTGAGTGGGCACAACATTTGTTGTTGTACTACTACAGGATATTTTATTTAAGTAAAAGTAACAATACCACATTATATAAATACTCTGTAAGTCCTGCATTCATTCATCTTTAAAAAAAAAAAGAAGAAGTAAAAGTGCATATTAACATCAAAATATACTTAATGTACCAAAGGTAAAACTGCTCATTATGCAGAGTGGCTTATTTCCGAATATTTGATATATAATATCACTGGATTATAATTAATGAGCTCATTTAAATTACTTCATATACTGCTAGTAGCTTAATCCATAATAATGCATCATAATTATTTTGTGTTGATCTGAATCTGCAAAAGTAATAAATTACAACCGATGTCAAAAAAATATAGTGGAGTAAAAAGTGTATAAAGTAGCATAAAATGTAAATACTCAAGTAAAGTACGAGTTCCTCAAAACTGTATTAACTAATTTACTTGAGTAAATGTACTTAGTTACTTTCCACTACTGGAAGTACCTATTTTACGTCAGGCCTCTTCCTCGACAGTAATGTTGCAGCAATGTTTTGAGTGGTTACGCAGGTGTAAGTACTTTATTTTGAAAATTCCCTGAGCGGATGTTGATTCGGAAACGCTGTTGGAGCTGTTGTGTTTTCCTCAGAACTAGCTTCATGGCTAAATATCTCTGATGACACGGGTTGTCGGCAGATATATATTTACAGTTTCATGCGGTTAACGTTTTTAAATCCCCGCATCATGTGAGAAAAGTGTCTGGACTGAGGAGGATGCTAGCATCGTTAGCACACCACTGCAGGAAATGAGCTCGTTAGCTTAAACAGCCAGTCCAAGTGTTATTATGTGGCGTAATTGTTCCTCTTTATGCTCGTACTCGATTTAAACAACCTCCGCACAATGGACACGGAGGCAATAGTGATCCGTATAAAGACGCCGTCAGGTGACATGGACTCGGCCGTTGACTGTCCGTCTCTACTGAACTTCAATGACTTGCTGGTGAGTCCTCACAATGCTACACAGCTGAGTTAGCTAACTAGCTAACTAACAGCTGTACATGGAAAAGACATTCACTCAGTTTAAATCTGGCACTTTCTGTTTCTGTGTCTTCGCCCAACTAAGACACACTAAACAGTTACAACTTTCACATCAGTATGTGTGAATGTGTTGAACGTTATACTGTATTTTTGTTATTGTTTCTGTTTTGTAATTCACTTCAGGTTGCAATCAGAGATGTCATGCCTGAAGCCACTGTCACAGCCTTTGAATGTGAGTGTCTGTCTCATACTTGTATTACTTGACTTCTGGAACAGGGACTCAACCACACAGACCAGTGACCCATCTAAGCCCTATTGTGTTTCTAGTTGGTAACAATATGTTGACCAACAAAACATTCATCCTGTGATTTACTAACTGACACACTGTTACTGAGGAATGGGGGCCCATTGATTATCATTCCCTTAGTGCTGCACCTATTATGGGGTGTTATTGGTTTGGATGTATGTGGATACTGTATGTGTAGATGCCAGGAAAAAGCATCAATCAATTAAGTGAATCCTGCTCTTAATATTCGAACAACGTATTTGTCTTTTTATTGGCAAATGAACATAATTTCTTATTTTGTTTTGAAAATAGATGAATCACCGTATCCTTTTGCATTCATGACACCTGAAATGTTGCAACAATGTTGCTGCTTTTTTTGTTCCTCAAAGTGACTTAAGATGACTTAGGTTTACAGTTTTTATATGGAATGAGTTACATCATAGATTTTTGTTAACGGCTCAAAGTATTACTTGATATGATATTAAATTCCGGTACATTTTGTCTTCCAGTTTGCTGTGTATTTGCTATAGCGCATGGACAGAAATCTGATCTATTACCCTTACATCAAATCAATTAAACTTAATTTGGCTAACACCTTTCATACAGGTTAGTGCAGTTCAAAGTGCTTAGCAGGTGACCGACAAGTAAAAAATAACAGAGTAGATCACGAAAAAAAACATAAAAGACAAAAGCAATTCAGAAGTTTATCAATTTGACAATTTGAGACACCAGACAATGAAATGATGAAAATGTAATGAAATAGATTTTAAAGCCATAATAACAGTAAAAGTAGTAAAACGACGTTAAATAAAAACTAGTGTAAATAAAATAGAATAATATTATACAACTTGTATACAATAAAAATATATATTTATTTCAATTTAAATACAATCAATTAAGTGAATAACATTAAAAAAAAGAAAATCCACCTGTTGAACAGGAATGGTCTAACAGCCCTTCCTAAATAAAGGTCTGGCTGAATCAAGTTTTTTGTATAAGATTTATGCCATATATGCCAATGCAAGACCATGAAGTGCTTTAAAACAAGTAAAATAATTGAAGTCAATACAGCCACTGATTGGCAACCAACGTTAGGACTTTGCCTTTAATATTGAAAGCTGTTTTATCTTGTATTATTTTGGTATGAATGTTTGCAATCCAAATTTGAAGATGCTTCTGTGTTTCTCAGATGAAGACGAGGTTGGAGACAGAATCACTGTGAGAAGTGATGAAGAACTCAAAGCCATGTTGTCATATGTGAGTATATAAAAGAATATTTTCTTCATGTCACACATCCATCCCACAAACTTGTATTTTTCGCTGATATGTTTATGTTGCAGCTGTTTTCGAGGTTATTTCTTCATTAAAAAAGTAGTTCTGATGAAAACTGTACACATTAAGGTCAGACCTCACTGTTTATGCAACATCCACTGTGTGTCTGAACACCTGAACTTTTTTCCATCCAGAAGAATATAGAGTGTTTTCTGTTGTACAGGTTGTAAACCACTCTAAGGCAAATTTGTGATTTTGGGGTAAACAAACATATACTTGACTTGACTGGAGAGTGTTACCCGGACATTGTTTTGTCTTGTACTTTTTGTGCAGCATGACGACAGAGCCACTTAACTCCTTTTTCATTGGCCATAAATCTTGATCTCAAAACGTTGGCACTTAAATCTCAAATTGTCATCTTAAGTTTTTACTGTTTACGCCTCTAGTTGGCATTAAAATGGCTTAAGGTATAAAAAGAAACCAATTCTAAAAGACCTTTAATGTCACATATGTTTTTGGTGCTTTAGCACATTTCAGAAATACAGGATCCCGTCCATGTCACCAAAAACGTATCTCGTGGTAAATGGTTCAGTGCTGTCAGATGTATTTTAAAAGACAGTTAATGTCTGTGATGTGTAGGAGGCATAATTGATCTGGAAAGAAAAATCTAAAAAGATAGAAGTGCTGATGACTAGATAGGAATGACACATTTTGACTTCTTGCTTCCACTTCTACACTGACATTGTATTTATCTGCAACCTATTAAGACTCAACCAGTGATGTCTTTAACCTCAGGTAAGAAAACAAACGTTTATAGGTATTTTTCAGAAACACACACGTTTCCACTACTCATTCTGCTCCTCCACCTAGTGCTGTACACTTTCATATTCCACCATACTTACTGTTCATGCCACGGACAGTAAGAGTAATGGCGTGTAATGGCTTTCTCTACGAGGTACACTGAAAGCTAAATGAACTGTCAATTTTTATTATTTATTATTCAGTACTTAAAGTTTTGCCTCATTAAAGAGCGAGGCCCCCTGGGCTGCAGAATTGTTCAAAATCTACTTTCATCTGTGGATGTCTTTTACCCCCCATCAGCTCACAATGATGCTGCTGCAGCCACAGGCACAATTTACACTCCTTGTTTTTTTTTTTTGTCCATTTCTCTCATGCATTCACTTGTGGTTGCTTTTTAATCATTAAGTAGCATAGGGTAGCAGGGTGATTAAGCAAAAAGAGACAGCTGTTGTGCCGACGAGCGTTATGCAACAAAGATGGAGGAAGTATTGACCTCAGCCATCTTTATTATTCACATATCCGGTTGACATGTTTTAAACTTCTTGCAACTTTGGCTTTATGTGATCAGTGTGTAGCTTTCAATATTTGCACAATATTGATATAGACTTAGGATTTCAGGAATTCCCTTTGTTTTGGTATGACCACCAATGTTCTGTAACCTGACCCGCCAGATGGTTTGTAACACAGAACCAACTGAGAACCGTCATTGGAAACTTCTCAGAATTGGGCAGACATTTGACAAAAAATTTGTGGCGGGTTATTGGATGGACTCTTACCAAAGCGAGTCGGGAGGAGAGCAAAAACAGTGTTTTCCATAGAGAAGAGCCTTCAGTGGCGTTCTTTGCTCTTCTTTGAATGAAGAAATGCTCCCCAGTTCTGATGAAACTCATGATATTGGAGCATTTGCGGTTACATCTTCAGGAGCCGCCATTGTTGTTTTGAACGATCGCTTGCCTCTCTGTGACGTCTCGCACTCCGTAGCCACGTCGTAGCTGCTGGTAGCTTCTCACTGGTCCGTGCTCTGGCTTACCGGACACAAACGCATTACTAGAAGCCTGACCAGGTGGATTTTCGTGTGATATGTGATCCCGCGATTGTTGCATGAATTTGTGACATCACGAAAATCCAGCTGACATGCAAAGCAAATAGTTTTCTGTATCATGTGCCAAAATGTTATCTTAATTTGTAAGAACCGGGATGGCAAACATGCTGCTACAGTAGGTTATGATGGTGAAGTGCTGTTGTTCCATGTATAAATGTAAAAATTAAAATGGTTATAAAAGAAAAGACTATGGTACTTTAAACCTGAAACTAATATCATACATGATCAACCAAATATCAGTAATAGTCACCAGTACACCTACCGGTGCATTTTTAAATAGCAGAAAAGGAACTGCAGTACAACTAAAACTAGGGCGGGGCGATATGGAGAAAATCAAACATCACAATATCTTTGACAAAATATCTCAATGATAATGATTACCTGGGTAAAGATAAATAATAGAACAGCTAGAACAGTCTGGTAAGTTCTGCAACTTCAGCACTTTACTGTGATGCAGACTTTTAAACCAGGAAAAGACTTATACGTTACTACACTATCCAAAATCTAAGATGATGTCCAGCCTCATATCACAGTATCGATATAATATTGATATATTGCCCAGTCCTAACTAAAACAACTACAAGCTACAATTGGAGCCATCAGGGTCACTGGTAATTTGTCAAATATTTCATATTAAAAAAACACAGGCTACAATAGACTATTATTTCATTTTGCAATACATAACAGCGCCTTATTGTCCCAACACTAATTTGTTCTTTATTCGGATGATGTGACATGTCTTAACAGCATATTAATTTATGACCCTGACCTGCAGCACAAATATTTAGCATCCACAACACTGCACTGCCTCGTCCACACATTTCAAAAGCCACAGTTAATTTTTGCCAAACAAATCCAGGAGCGTAATGGCTTTCTGCTCCTTGTGGGACAGGCAAGTGCACAAAAAGCTGCTGATCACCTGGAAAAAAACTGGTCCCTCTAAAATATAATTTACACTAGCCGAGTACTTTAAATGTCTTGAGCAAGGGTTATGCATTTCAGCAGTCATTTGCATTTGTACTCGGAGGATTCTTTTCCGTGTTGTGGTTGTTTGCTGTGGTTGCCATTTGGCCTCCGTAGAGACCCCAGTGGTATTTTTTTGCCTCAGTGTTGTTAATTCCAGGTGAGCAGACAGCCATTATGTGAAATTAATAGGAATTAGGGGAAACCAGCATGTTAGGTGAGAGGTGGGATAATTCATTAGAGTCTCTCATGGTGGCCTCTCGTGTGCAACTGTTTCTGTGTGTGGATGTTTGGGATAATTAATTGATAAATGTTTAGCCAGACTTTTAAATATACTGTATCTACATGTGTTTTTTTCTTATTCGGGATTTCTGCTTTTTTTTTTTTTTTTTTGCCTTGCGGAAAAGATTCATGCTCCTTGTTGCTGAGCAAAATTAATGCTCGAATCCAGCACTTAATTAACATGAGTGTGCAGAGGGCAGTTATTGTGAAAAGTATCCCCCATCACTGAGAACATTGATTGCTACATGCTCCTGTGAGACCCACTAGTCTTCCAGGCATCTCTAATCATTGTTCGACACCTTGAAAGACAGACGCCCCTGTTCAAAGTTAAAGACTGGCCTGTGTCGGGTACTAAAAAAAAAACCATGTGACCTCATCCGTTCCTCGCTCAGCTCCCCCTGGAGGTAGTGGCTCTAATTCCACCGTTCTTACTCCCATTTCCCCTCAGTCTGCTAATGATGATGAGGCCCACTCTCTGCTCTCGCTCTCCCACTTGTCCCTTAAGGCTGAGCGATGGTATTTGGGATCGGACACTGTTTAGTTATTGGCCAACAATGGAGAATGTCTTTTAATAACACACCTACTACAGATTAGGTGGTAATTGCAGCCTTAATCAATAAGCTAGCTGAGCGGAAAATTAAAGGTACGTGGAGCCCGACCCCCCCCCCCCCCACACACACACACACACACACACACACACACACACCCTCAACACACACAACATGGTTTTGGGTATTAGGCCCATTGTTCAGATGTGGCCTAGTGAAAACGCTGGAGGGCGAAAGCAGAGGCCTAGGAGCGAGGAGGGACCTGACAGTGATAAATAGGCCTTTTAATAACAGCTGTGCCACTTGGGTAGCCATTCTGATCCATTCCCATCCAAGCCGTTCCCATCGTCCTCCCTCCCTCCCTCCCCCACAATGAGAGAGCACATTTACATATCGCAGTGATGACTTGGTAATTCATACTGGACTGTAAATGGAACACAATGAACACATGTACATGTGGAATACATGGAGACATCTTCTGAAGTGTCTGAACTATGTGTTCAAGGATGTCTTGCTGTTCATTTCTGTTGGTTTGAAGCCTCAAAAAGGAGACAAAACACACACACACACACACACAGTTTAACAGATGGTTTGGTTAACTGAAACATCAATTATTGCATTGCCTTGGCAAGCATCTGAGAGGCCCCAGTGTGTGTGTGTTTCTTTGTGTGTGTGTGTGTGTGTGTGTGTGTATGTGTATGTGTATGTGTTAGTCCTGTAGGATATGAGTGTTTGGTGAGCTGTTGACCTGGAGGAGAAAAGGGTTAATGCTACACTCCTTCAATACAAGCCCACAGGGCATTGGTCCTCATTGGCAACAGATTTCAGCACAGCATGCTCACATTCTGGGAATACTGTGGATTAATTCTGACGTCATTTAGATAAACATTTTGTGTTTATTTTCTTTCAGTAATCCTTTAATAATGAAACAAAGTATATTTAACTTCCAGTATGTGTAATAATCACTTCCAACGACTATTGTTCTCTCCTTCTGACTGTCTTTCCCCCTTTAGTACTTCAACACAATGAATGAACAACGCATCAATGGGCTGCTGCCGGACCCTCTGCAGATTTTTCCACGAGGTACGGAGTGACATGTTACAGTTTATCATGGCTTGGTAATGCTTAAAGGCTCAATAGGTATTTGTAATTAATGTGTTGACAATTAATCATAAGCAAAATTTAAATATTTAAAAATATTCACACTTTCCTCGTTGGAAACTATTAAACCAAAATGTGGGTAAATCCCTTATGCTGGTGTTCAAACATAAGAAAATGGGAGCATTTGGTTGCAATGCAGCCTCTGGAAAACATTAAAATTCAGTGGCTCATTCAGTCATTTATAAATCTACATTTCTTTTGCTCCAAGGACATTGAAACTGCAAGCTTGTGTTCAGGCCACGCCTTGCCCAAATCTCTGACGTTGTCTAGTTTCTTCCCTGAACTGGTTTTGACTGCGAGCGCTTTTTCAATACATATGATTTCTGTATCTTCATGTAGTTTTCTCACCTCCCCAAAGTCATGCATAATCGCTAACAGGCCCCAAGGGCAGAGTGTATTGTCTCCCTCTCCTTTACTCTGAATCTGTCTCTCTCTTACTCTCTATCTCACTCTTTTCTCTTACTGTGTGACTCTGTTTCCTTCCTACCTACCACCAGCTGTCTCAAGAGCCCAACATCTCAATCACTCTCTTGTCTAATTTCAGAGTAACCCTCATTTCATTTCGTCTTTCTTTTTTTTTTTTTTTTTTTTTTTTTTTTTTTTTACGAAGAACTGATTCCTTTTCAGCACATTTGTAAATGGCCCAGTGATGTGTTCTACAATCTAGTCAATTACTGTTTCAGCCGGCAAGACTCCAGGGATCCGGAACATACATGGCCTGAAGGTACCTATCTCAATAATTGTTTCAGCTGCCTTACACGGAGAACAAGGGGAGGGGAGGGAGGGAAGTTGAGGCAAATGGATTGGTAACGCCGTGTTCCACTTATTGAAATGTCAATTGAAGTCAAGGCTCTCCTTTTCTTTCGCTCATTCTCTTGCTCTCCTCGTCTATGTTTATGTATGGCGGGCTGTGGCTGCAACGGAGCTCGTCTCTCCCCTTCTCTCATCTTTCTCATGCCGGGTTAGCCGTTTAAAAGCAAGGTGTTATGCTAAATCCTCGATTTCTCCCCCCCGTCTAGAGTATTATGATCCTCACATTCCATACGATAAGAACAGCTTTGGTTAAAGCAAAAACGAAGTCACTAAGAAGATGTTATTGTTCAACCATGAAATTGTCATTACAAAGCCCCCCCCCCCTCCTCTGCCATTTACAAATGGCCTTCCACAGACCTTCCCATTTTATGTTAGGCATATGTTGCTATTGAAACTCATTGCTAATTACCATGGGTTAAATGACTTGACACCTCCATCTCTCCAGATGATCCATATTATACCCATCTCCATTTCAATGATAGAATCACCCCTCCTCTCCAAATACTGGAAGTGCTTTATTTAATGTATCCTCTGAGGACTTTTGGTAACAACTACTGAATTGTGTCAGTTCTTATTTTTTTTTTTTTTAAGGTCAAAGGTCTGTTTTGATAAGATGATGTTTTCCAAAAAACCTGAAGTCCTTTAGTAATCTTTCCCCTCTTTTATCCTGTTTTAATGTAAAAGTAATTGTCTGAGGGGAGTCTTGTGCGCTGTTTAAATTAGGTCTTCCTGGGCACTAATTAAAGAGAGAATCCCTGCGCTTTACTGGACCCAACACATCGGCCTTCTGACCTCAATTAAAAGAGTTATTTTTAGTATACCCTTTACAGGATCTCGTCTCTTCTGGGTTGTGTACAGAGGTCTTTGTAGTAAACATTTATGCAGATTAATAAATGTAAAGAACAATGTTCCAAATGTGGCATGACATTTTTTATGTCTTTACTTTATTTTCGGAGCGCCTTGGTAGCCGAATGGTTGCAGCACATCCCACATAATGAACGTCCCCGGTTGATTCCAGCCTTGGGACCTTTGATGCATGTCTCACCTCTCTCTAGCTCGTTCTCTCTCCTCAGCCTCCACACTGTTAACTGTCCAATAAAGGCGAAAATGACAACGAAAAAATAGTGGTGCAACGGATCATTAAACTCACGGATCGGATCGGATCACGGATCGGATTCACGGATCGGATCAAAAATCAGATCAGCACAAAAGAAAAAAGGGAGCAAATATAACTTTTAGAGATCCCTGATAATGTTTTTTTCCCGCTGATACTAATTGCAGATCATTGATGATCCATATTTGGCAGATACAGATCCCTTTGTTGTTTGATTATAGCAGCTGGTCTATATGGCTCCATCCCAAAAATCATTTCAATCGCTCTGAAGTGTAAACCATCCAAAATTCTAAATGTTATCCTTTTACTTTGTTAAAGTAATTTATAGTGTTTTTTCATAAAGGCACATAATAACAGATTGTATTTTCATTGATTAACACAAATCTTATCATCAGTAGTTTTACGATGTCAGTAAAACTTTATTTCACACTTTGGTGGTTAACGTAAACTCTGTAATTAATCCGTGGTTCACAACCAAACCGTGAGGGCTGATCCGTACATGCAAACATATTTTGCCTCTTCTCTCCTTCTGCAGTCTTTCATCCCTTCACCTCCTCTCTGTCTTTCTTCTTCGCGTACCTCCCTTCTCTCCTACGAAAGCCAATTAACCTCCAGGCTGAACTGAGAGCTCGTGTTTTGTTCTTGTTCATTAGGGGGTCTGGCCATATGTCTATCTGTCTTTTGGCCTTGACCACTCGGTGTGTGTGTGTGTGTGTGTGCGTGTGTGTGTGTGTGTGTGTGTGTGTGTGTGTGTGTGTGTGTGTGTGTCCGTGTGTGTCCTTTCACATGTTTGTGTATGTGTTTCCACACCTTCAGGTTAATACAAGACCTAACCCAGCCAATGACTGCACTCATGCCATCCCAGACTCCATGGCCAACAACAGGTGAGCTGTCTGGGGCATGAGGAGCATGTTGCACTACCTGGAATAAACTTCAGCCGGTTGGTTGATTGATGAGTAGAACGATGTCTGTGATACTTGCGTCAACTGTGCTGTGTTCCTTCCTCCAGCTTAAAAAAATCATCTGCGGAGCTGAAGAGGATTCTGACAAATGGGCAGGTGAGCCTGAGTTTTGAGTTTCAGTAGAACTTGACCGCAGTTAACTCGCTGCTCTCGCACTAGTTCCCACTGACTAGAAACACATTCTCTCCAGTGGTTGGCTCCTCTTTGGGTTTTCTTTGATGCCAACTGTGGGCATGTTACACAGAGTGTGTATTTGGTTATTGTCTCTTCACTGCAGGAGGTCTGTGGGTTTCTAGGATCAAGCCTGCTACAGTCATGTCTTTCTTTTATAAAACTTTCTCTCTTTCATACACGCACGCACACACACACACACACAATGGCTAGCTTGTCAGGGAGATAATTAATCCACGTCCTCTCAGGTTTCTGCTGTAACACAGTGAGCTAATAAAGCTGTTCTCTCCAATCCCTTCATCTCTTCTCATTCTCTTTACCTCCCTCCTCTCACCACCTTATCAAATCAATTGGGGGGGGGGGGGGCATGCATGCATGTTGTTGTGCCTGCCTCGGTCTATACAAAATATGTTTTGACAGCCCCACATTGACATAATCTCATTATCAATCATTGAGTGCCACGCACACAAACATGTATAAACACACTTCATGCACATGAATGAAGTGCTACAAGGCAGCATGGACTGGAGACAGAATCAATTAAGATCATTTTTCACCAGACATTGTAAAATTCTGGCCATTTTGGATGCAAAGATAAACAATGATTTTCCTAGAATGTTTTATATTCTGTCTACATTTTTAGGACACACATGTTTTGCAATAGTACATTTCCTTATATCGATAGGACATGTAAAATATTGATGTAATGATAAAGCTTTTCAGTTTTAAAATGACGGTTTTATATCATGGTACTCGATATGTTTACGTGAATGTAAAACAGTTTTCTTTAGCAGCGATGCATTTAAAATATAGCAAAAATATATTTAACACTTAGCATATTTATCATTATGGTATTAATAGAACCGATTCAAAAATAGGAGCGGTAGTTACTGTTTGAGTGCAGTTCTTCTCACTCTAAAACTGAGTAAAAATTAGAATATATTATTATGAAACATATTTGTTTATAAAATATTACACACTGGCATTTGGATAAAAAACATTTGCTCAGACCAACCATGTGACAATTCTGGTATGTGACGACTGCAAACAAATCATCATTAACCTCTTCATCAAATGCTGTATTGATCTCCTCTTCTCCTCCTTCTTACCATCTGCTTTCTCTCCTTATGTTGCTGAACTTGGAGTGACCTGAACGCATGTCTTGTTTATAGCCTCCAGTGACAATGTCAGCCCCTCTCTCTGCCTCACCTGTGAAGTTACACATGTCATCCACCGGTTGCATGTCTTCTCATGTTATAACATCTAAGTACCATTTATTGTATATCTGTATCGACAGATAAATGCCCAAGATATCCACTATCAAGAGCAGCTTGGCCATGGAAACGGAGGCACAGTTTACAAGTAAGTCTTTGCTGCTCACAGCACAGATGGTGACACTGAAGCAAGTGAGATGGTCTGAATGAGTTATTCAAGGATGTTGAAGCCTCGATACAGTGCAGAAGGAATGTTGCCAATTTTAGACTGATTCTTGTCTTTTCATATTTTTTCTGCTCATTTTTTCTGACAAGCACATCACCCTGCAATAGGGTTCTGTGAAGGGTTCCCCATTGTTCACCACCCTTCCTCCGCTCCTTCATCCGTCCATTTATCTCAGTGTTTGGTGTGACATCCATCAGGGTGGTTTGTGTCTTTACCTTCATTTATTTATTCTGGTTTGAAGGTTGCAAACATATATGATATTGATTTGGGGCTGTAAAGTATGACAGCAATTGACCTAATCTGTCTATAGTTCCGCACATTACCTGCCACGATAGAAGAGCTCCATCCTCTCCGGCTAGACAAATGTATTACTGCCCTGCTAGCGTTATGACAAGGTTGGCATTTGTGTTGCTCGCTCTATACTTCTTTTTCCCACCTTGTGTTTTCTCCTTCTCATCAATCCTCAGCTATTGAGCTGTTTTATTGAGATTGAAGTATTGATCACTGCTTAGACTGACCTTGACTTGACAGAGTGGTCTGCTTCCCAGAGTCCCCAGCAAACCCAGTAAATGTCCTATCCAGCAAATCTTCCAAAACTGTCGGTTTTTTTTGTTTTTTATTTTCACCTTTCTTTCCAACCACCTTTTACTGTTTTATGACTTTGAGATAGTTTCATTAAGAGCCAATCTGTCATAGTTGTAGGAGAATAAGATTGCTTATCAGTTTGGCACCAAAAATGGTTGCACTGCAGTGGGGAAGGGCAATATTGCAAGCCCAACAACTTCTCAGTCAATTTAGTCCAGCAAAAAATCCATATGCTTTGGTGCTGAAATTTTTATAGTTGGAAGGAGAACATAAAAAAAATAGTTTGGTTGTTTTGTGCTATTTTTGATGTTGTAGAATGTTTTCTTCCATGCTTATTTTGGTTAAAGGTTCTCTATACTATATTCAGCACCTTAATATAGCAGCAACAACTATTTGCTATGTAAAGATATCATGGAGTAATGTCTACCTGAGCAGAGAAAGAAGTCACTCGCTCTGTGCTTTTATCTATGTTGCCGGGCCAGCCGCGAGTGCCTTGTACAGCGATTACGGCTGATAATGCTTCTCCGACCGACAGTGCTGTCGCTGAAGCGTAGCACCCACCCTCCGCTGCCCCCAGCCCCCCCCCCCCCCCCCCCCCCCCCCCCCCCCAATATAATTTTGTCCAGTTTAGGAGCTACTTTATTTGCTCCTTTATCCCACCAGAAATGTCTCCATTGAGGTCAACATTTCCCCACGCTGCTGAGGATGGAGGCCTTTCCTTGTTATGCATCAACAAATGCTTTTTCAGAAACGTCGAGGGTACCTGTTAGTCATCGTCCAGGCCCGTCATAAGTCCACACCCGACAACTGGGCTTTTGCTTCCTACCCCAGCTGCATCCCTCCTGGTCTGCCGGTCGCTTTCGGCTGAGTCAGCAGTAGCTTAGACAGCACCATGTGTGTTCTGGGCTGCCTCTTCCTCTGCAAAAGTTGTAAAAAAAAAAAAAAAAAAAAAGGTTCACTCTGAGTCCGTATACCCAATCTCCAACATGACACTGGAGAGGCTGGCTCGAGGATGAAAGCTAAAGTCATTCTGAGTAGAGTTCTCACTCGGGCATGTTCTACCAAACGCCGTCCAGCAGCATTGACTGCCATTAGATCCAGTTCAAATACAGACCAGCTGACAGCTCAGCTACTCCATCAAACCAAGTGTCTCATGTGTTTAATTGCTAAAACACCAAAATAGTTACTGTAGACCACAGTTCAGATCTGCCCTGACTACCCTGCACTCTGCCTGTCCAAATCACAGACACACCTGCACTTAATGCACCACCCTGCTGGACTTTAAAAATTCCAATCAATAAATAACAACTTATAAAAAAAAGCTCTCTCGTTAATATAGTTAATTCTAAAAGTAGATTTTCTTATTTTAGAACAAAAACAGCGATGCAGTGACTGAGTGTCTGTCCTCACAAAAGCTTAAATGTGGGGGAGTTTTATTTTTATTTTCTGGACAGTATACTGAGAGTTAAAAAGATCACCATAATTTGCTGTCCATCTCACTCTGTGGACCCCAAACTGGCAGATGTAGTTCTGCTCGCATCAAGGTCTGCTGATCATCTGGAGTAACCTGGTCATGATTTCTTTTCAAATGTATTTTTCTGGCACTTTGAGCAACACAAGCCGAATGCCACCTAGTTCCACTATACAGGAGAGAAGGCAGACATCTCTACAACCGATGCATCCAAAACTAGGCAGCTCACACTAAAACAATCTAGATTAAACAATACTGTCTGCATACTCATCGAGGGCCTTTGCGGGTTTCCTGCTTGCTTCGAAACCTATTCCCTGTCCTCTTAAGCCTCTACCATTTGGTCCAGCTTATATTAGGCTTATCATGTGTGAAAGCACTACCAAAGGCTCCCCACCTTTTAACCTCTTAGCCCATTTATGACCCAGAGCCATTTAGACTCAATTGGATGTTACCAACACCACAGCTCTCCATAACCACGCGCTGACCTAGCCATCCATCAATGTCGGCCTTTGTTTTTTATTACACACTCTCTCAGAGGTCCATCTTGTCCAGCAATCTAACTGACTCCACGGCTTATAAATACAATAACAAGGATACACAGACCACTTTCGTGACTCATGGTTCCAGAAGTGCAATTAAAACGAGCGTATTTGCCTAACTGTGACTGTGGTGACATCTACTTAGATACCCACGGCTGTTCCTTCAGTCTCTCAGCCCATTTTCTCCATTGATTTAGTTGTTTTTTTTTTCACCTCATTGATTAGACTGTATATTGAAGGACCAAAGCTCTTTGTTAATTGGTTGGAACCTAGTATCTTGTATCCAGATATGTTCAGATTGTTTATCGAGCTAGTTGAATGGAATTACCCCGGTTAACAGTGCAGCCTTGCTGTTGTCTTTGGTGCAGAATATTTAGACTATAAACTTCAGTGTCATTGAAATAATTTGTATATCTCTTGTTTATGGGTCGCCTTTTTGGCTCTTTGTTTATTTCTCCAGACAATTAAGCTATATTATCTAACGGTTAGGAGCCTGAAAACGTGAAATACATTCACTGACTAAATCTTTAAAAGCCAACATTTAATGTTTTAAATCATTTAGGAAATGATTGATAATTTGTATCCAATCGTAAGTTAGTCTTACACGATGATGTTCCAATTGTTATTATTTTTAATTGAATTGATACATAGTATTAACTGTGAAACCTACAATGAAGACATAAAAAACATGCAGTATACAAAGAACAAGCTGCTTTAACACTTGCCAGTAGGTGTTGCAAGACGTACAGGTTTAGCAGCGCTTACTGTCCTTGCGTGTAGATGGCGACATTGACATGTCTAAATCTGCAGGTCTGCAGCTGTTACTTTCCTTTCCCTGGAGGTGGCACAATGTGGCATGTGTAGAACCAGTGTGTAGAACTGGTCAGACAATGAACAAATACAATGGGACACCCTCAGAAGTAAAGAAATCCACAGCGTGTCATGTGGCAGTGATGTCAAAGTCCATTCATGGATTTAAGTAATGTTGTCTTCCACCTTCGTAGCATGGTAGGATACACACAAAACAAATCTGTCAACTTTGTTGTTTGAGCTTCTCTGTGTCTAATGTGCTGGATATTTAGCAAGCCTTTGTGTGTAAGTTCATGTCTGTTTGTGAGTGTCTGTGTTTAGCTTTCTGTCTCGCCTGTGTCGGTTAGGACGCCCATTATAGCCGTATATAAGATGAGAGAGACAGGCGGGCCCGTCTTCCACGTGGCAGTGTAAAAGTACCACGTTAGCCCTGATCCAGGAGGCCAGTCTCTCTAACCCACAGCCCCAACTTCAGAGACAAAGAGAGAGGCCTATGAATACTGCATGATGGAGCTTTTATTACGAAGCGAGCTGGAGTGTAAATAAGATCCAGGCAATGGGGCACGTTTACTGGGGTCAGATCAAGGGAAGTGGCGGGGGGTGGCTATGTAACCTTGTCCCCATGTCTCCCGCTGTCACAAGCCTGTCACTGTAACTCATACAGGGATGCTCGGCCCTGAGGTGGTCAAGGGCAGTCTGAGAATAAAGCTGTAACAAAGCAGTAGTCACACCACATCTCCAGACCTGAAACATGCCCTTAAAATATATTACGTTAAACTTTGGGGTTTCTTAACTCTTGTATGTCTAACTTACACATACATTTAATTATCACCGTATACAAATTAAAGCTGGTTTGTGAACATGCAGTACTATTGGGCCAGTTGTGCTTAAAGGGATACTTCAGGTGAAGTGGTGTTGTGTGACGTACTTATTCTTAGTAAGTGGTTTCCCTACAGAAGATGGCGGTCAGCATGTTCCCAGTTTGGAGAAGCAGATGGGAGTGCCAGCATGGAAGCTAGCAATGTATACCGCTGTAGAAGGCGCAGCAGCAAAATGTATTTTAGCCACCTGGAAAAGGGCCCACCCAAAAAATCTATCAGTTTAAGTGTACACTATATTAAGAATATTTTCACTGCTTTACTTAGCCGCCAGACAGTCCTTTCTAAATTGGGAACTTAAGCCATTTTTTCCATCTTTGATCTCTTCAAAGCCACCAAACTTTATTGACAAAATCAGTCATTTTACCTCACAAAACACGGGACGTGCTGCTGATCTACCGCTGCCTCGATCGAAACTAACCTTTACATTTTTTAATAAGAGTCAGGCTGCTTTGAAGAGAGCGTAGTTAACAGCTTAAGTTCCCAGTCGGAAGGGCTGTCTGACGACAAGTAGGTAATACACTGACTATAGATAATTACCTCATACAACCTCACTTCAAAAAAATACTAACTATCCCTGTAATGTTATATTATGTGGATATTTCCCTTCAATCTGATGAAGAAAGTACTTTATATTGATGGCTTTAATGTGTTTACCTTGCTCTAACTTGGCCAAAATGATTCGGAGACATCTGACAAATACCTAGAACAATAGCATTAGATTGAATAAACACATGATACTTTGCCTGAAGGTATACATGCACAAAAGATGGACACACACAAACAGTCAGCTGAAACGTGTGCATATGTCCACGAACACGTGTTAAAGAAGTAGTTTGATGCATCCAGCCACTGGCAATGTCTGGAGACTTCAAGTTTAGCATTGTGAAGACGTTTTAAAAGGTTTAATCCCTTTTCAGGCTGCCTTACAAACACACACACACACTCACAACCTGCCCAGCCAGTATTTAACATGTCTACCCCTGCGATCTTGCCTCAATTAACATCTTCATTTTAATTAAGAGGCGGCACTCATGCTTAACTGATATTGATTGGAGCTTAAAGGAAGACAGAGACATCAAAATGGAAACAAGGCCGTCAGCCTTATGTGTAAAGAGCTTTTTTTACTAAAAAGATTACACTTAAGACCAGAAACAATCACTAACACTCTTGGGCAAAAATAAATAACACTGTCCACTGAAGTCAGAAGATGGCTCGTGATTCATTTTTACCTTTTGCTATTCCATATTTTTTTAAATCTTTTACGTGTTAACTTTTGGTCATACCTACCTTACTCTTTCAGCAATCTCTGAAAAGTATGCAAAGTAGTTTCTTTTTGACTTCAGCAGCGACGAGACTGTTATGAACGATGTGTAAACAGCAGCTCACGCACAGCTACAGTCAGAGACCAGTGTTTGTTCTAACTGTGGGTAATTACCTGACATGGCACTAATAGGTGGCATTAATTAAAGGCCTGGGACAGTTTTTAGGTGTCTGGCTGAAGAGCAATGTGATCCTCCAATCTAAGACACATTAATCAGACCTTTGCACCATACGCATTCTCTCTAGAAGACCCACTGATAGACGAGTAGCCAGGTATCGCATTTACTAAGCCTGCTTGTAAGCTAACCGGCCTGTGTGACATGCACCCCCACCTCCTCCCCTTCACCTGACAGCTGTTGGACAGTATTCGTCCTTGAGGATTGTGTGTTGAGAGGTACTGAGGTGCCGTAAACTTACCTTCAAGTGGCTGTAACTAAAGCCGATGTTCGGCATTAAGGAGTTTGATAATTAAATCATTACGGGGCCAGTCTGTGGCTGCTGCTTTACTTGCAACTCAAAACTCTGTCTGGAACATCGAGCGATCGGGCGGACTGGGTCTGGTTTTGGGTGGTGACTTCTGACCTTAACCAAAACGAGGAGACCTTTTTTGAGTTTTTATTTATGTACTTTCATTACCCATCAGTTGAACTTTATATAATATCATGTTCTGCTTTGTCCCTGTAGAGCGTACTATCTTCTGGGCAAGCGGGTTTTAGCTGTCAAGGTGAGATCTCCCATGTTGATAGTGATGTGACAGTACTTCCTCTTAAATAAGTGACCCTCAAGCTAGTCCACCCCATCAGAACCTCAAAAGAACTTCTTCATGTTGTGTTTTATTAAAGGCTATACCTGTTTTTGATTACAGGTCATTCCCCTGGATATCACGGTGGAATTACAGAAGCAGATCATGTCAGAATTAGAAATTCTCTACAAGGTGAGTTTGACTTGTTCCTCTTTACAGAAACAATTGATCTATTTCTCCACTGAATGTTGCTGTCCTATCAGATCTATATTGTTAATCAACCATGAGTAATGAAGCACCATTTATCGCCTCTGGTCTTACAATGTAAGCCAGGGATCAGCGATACATGGGGACACGCGCAACATACATAGGGACGAGGCGTGTGAGTTAACTGATCACGGTCTGTGAATTTCTTAAAGCGACCATGAATGCATTGTGTGTTATCAACATACAACGTGAAAAAAGAAGTTGTGGAACCAGATGGACAAATCAACTGACCTGAGCTCAGTGTATTGATGTGTTTCTCCACAGCTGCTTTAGTCTGCCAGCCCTCTCCCCATGTGTGATCATGAGGCAATTCATTGCTTAAATTGCTGATCACTTTTTGCTCAAATTCAGAATGAGGATGATGCATTAACAAATCCTTAAAATACATATTTTGCTGTGCTCTGCAATGATCACATTGTGTCTTCTCTTGTCCGCAGTGTGATTCACCCTACATCATCACTTTCTTCAGTGCCTTCTTTGTAGAGAACAGGATATCCATATGCACCGAATTTATGGACGGTGAGTTTCTTGGTGGTTTAAGCCAGTGGATCATGTGTTTTTTTATCTTTGCTAGACACCGCCGTGTGGGAGAGACTTCGGGGAACTGTCGCCTGTCTCTCTACTGTGTCTCCATTTACACTTCCGCAGATCACGAGAACGTCTTATCGCTGTGAGCTGCTTAGCATGCCTGTGTGCTAAAAGCTACAAGGGCGTGATAAATCCAGACTTAAGTGCATTTGTAGGTGCATTTTTACGTGTGTTTCTAGATTGGTGTGAGATAGGGGACTGTCTATGTTTTTAGCTGAGTGTTTGTCCAAGTGTGTGTTAATGCAGTTATTCCCCTGTTTCACACGTTTGCCAGCTTGTCAGCAAACTCGGTCTAACCTCTCAGCACTCTTTATTTCATGGAACTTTTCTTTGATCAATCATTTCCAGTTGTTATTGATTATTGCAAACGTGAATTTTCAGTGCTTAAAAAATGTGATCGCATAAGAAAACATCAAAAAAAAATGTCGTCTTGTTTCGTGATTTATAAGTATGACGAATAAATGTTAAACAAATACAATCAAAGTATCATGTAAAGTGGAATTATAACTAATATTTTTTTTATATAATTACATGTGTAGACTCACTTTCATTTCCATTACATTTAGAAACATACCTGGAATGTGTCGTCTGCGTTTAAACCATCCTAAATATTATGTGCAGTAGACGGTTATTCTGAGAACGTCCACACTGACGGGGAAACTTTTAAAAAGATCCGTTCCTTCTCCGGTTTGTGTAAATATCCAGTCTAAGAGGAGCGACAGTTCTTTCTTTGCATCTGGGAAATGCTGGTTGACCTAATTTAGATCTGGACCACATGAAATTACAAGCAAATAAATTAGATTTTGTGAAAAGGCCATTTGGATATTAATAAATAAATTGTACCGATTGTGTTCATACTACATCACCGTCTGATGAATACTTTTGTCTTTTGCAGGTGGTTCTCTGGACGTGTACAAAAGAATTCCAGAGCACGTGCTGGGGAGGATTGCAGTCGCAGTAAGTTTTCATGAAATACTCAGAATCTCCCTGTTAGTAGTTAGAAAAGCGTTTCAATCAAGAGGTGAGTTCTGGAGTTTTAATTTAAGTGTACTGGAGTGTGATTGTCCCAAGTGTGTCCCAGTTTTAAATGCGACCTGTTATTCGTTTGTCAGATACAGAACCGGTCTGAGGAATATTTCACTCGTATTAAGTGAAACCACAGGTGTGAATCTTTCAATTAGCTTGTGTTTGGTGAAGAGATGGACAAAGTCAGCGTTGTTATCCTTCCCTCTCTCCCGTTCTCCATCCCTTTCTACTCTCCATCAGTTTGATAGAAATGGCCTTGGTGTTGATAAATGCATGTTATTTTTTTCCACACTCATTACCCTTCTCCTGTCTTCACCTCCTCTTTTCTTCCCCCCCCCCCCCCCCCTTTAACTTCTTCCGTAATCAAACAATGACAGCTATTTAGTCAGTGTTAATTCTAATTCACAGCTTTCCCTCCTTTCTACTGTCACAGTTGTTAATTATCACAGAAGGAAAAGCACCCAAGAGGGTGTGAGTGAAGCTGCAGACTCACACCACCAGCTTTGAGGCAGCAGGACTTCAGAGAGCTTTTGTGCTTTCTTAATTTACCACAGAGGTTGTCGTGCATCAGAGAGGGATGACAGGAGCCTAGAGGCTAGAGTCTAGAAGCTCTCACATCCCATAAATGGAAAAAGAAGCTGTACACATTGGGGAATGAGTAATAGTTAAACAAAAATATAATGATTATATGGCTGGCTGTCTGAATCTCGCCAGGCGGGTGGAGTCATATGAGTTTAACTAATAATGCACTTGCAAGGGATGCACAAAACCAGTTTGTGTTTTA